ATAGAAGATCATCGAGTTTCAGATTACGAAGAGAATAGAGCTCCAACTCTTGCAAATTCGCTGTTCCAATATGTTGGAGTGAAAAATTCTCTTGGAGAAGGGCAGCATTCAATCGAACATCTTCAACATATGGTAGAAAAGCTCTCAAAATGACTCGAGCGCTTTGAATGTCCTGATTGGAACAGCGAATTTGCAAGAGTTGGAGCTCTATTCTCTTCGTAATCTGAAACTCGATGATCTTCTATCACTGAATCTTGAACGTTGTAGTATTGGTAAAAAACAATACTCACTTCTTGAAAGTGAATCGTTTCTTCAAATTATGGAAGAAGGGATCTAATGCAAAATTGAAATATTTGGAGGTTCATGGAAAAACCATCGCAGATTGGAATGTTTTGATGAAAGGACTACAGCCAGAAGAAGCAAGAAGATCACAGGCAGACGGAGGAGGAGGAGAGGAAAAGGAATACACGATTCAGAATTTTTATGGGATCTGCGCTAGAATTAGCATGTTTAGTTATCGTTTTGCTCGTGTTAAATTCACTGTTTTAAATTGATTTCTGATTTAATTTATGTTGCACCCAAATTAAGTTTCATAAATCGTTTGATTTGTTCGCCATTGTGTCCATTAAATCGATTTGTTCACCATTACGAGAAATCGAAATTTTTTTTTGTTTTTTTTTGAAGGCAGAAAAAGAGAGTGTCTTCGTAAATTTGCTGGCTCCAAAACTAAAATAACAGAGCTTCAAGTTTTCAGTTTACCAGTTTTTTGAAAACTCATAGAGAACCCCAGTTGCGGGAAATAGTCTACAAAAGCATTTCAGAATTTTCCAATCGGTTTGAACATTTCAACGGATACTAAACAAAAATAGAGTTTCATTTTTGCAGTTGATGACTTTTTTGTAGCTTTGCTAGTTTTGGAGATATGCGCCTTTAAAGTCATTGGTGTGTTTAGAGTGGAGAAAAGAGACGCAGAGAAGAACTCTCACTTTGAAGGCGCATGCCTCAAAAACCAGAAAAACTACAAAAAAGTTGTCAACTACAAAATTAAAGCTCTATTTTTGTTTAGTACAGTCTGAAAATTTCATAGTCAAGTCAACAAAATTTAAGCCTAAAAATCTGAAAATTTGAGACTCTGAGAACTTGATAATCCAAAAATATGAAAATTGGAAAGAAATTTGAAATTTTGAAATTTTGAAAAAAAAACTTGAATACTTGGAAATCTAAAAGTCAGTGCCTGAAAATAGAAAATCCAAAAACTGGAAAAGTTGGAAACTTGAAGTATTGAAAAACTGAAAATCTGAAAAATTAATGAGGTTTCTAAATTTTGAATTTCTCAGAGGAAGGTATTTTGAAGTGCTGAAAAAGTAATCCAGAATTTCTCTATTTGTCTGAAAATATCAGATTGAAAATATCAAGGTCTATCCAATAACGTTTCAGATATTTCGTAGGCCTCTAAAGATGATTTATTAGACATTTCAGTTTTTTTTTTGGATTTTGCCGGTTTTCCAGAATTTTCATTCATCAGAGAAGCTTCTTAATTTTATTTCCCGGAAGTTTCCCCTTTTTTTGTTTTCTCCGACTATTTCGATTTTTTGATTTCAACGATTTCTTGGTTTTCTCTGAAACTTCTGAACCCTCAGGATTCTCAGTCTTTCAATTCTGAGATTCTGATCTTTGAGATATAGAAAATTTCGAATTTTCAGATTTTCAGATTCTGAAATATTAGATTTCCCTGATTTTCAGATTATGAGATGCTGATGTTATGATATTTCCAAATTCTGAGATTTTCAGTTTTTCAGATTTCCAAATTTTTAGATTTTCAGCTTTTAAGACTCTGTGATTTTCAGATTCCCAGATTTCATGATTTTCATTTTAAAATTCAGCGATTTTAAGATTTTCAGATATTTTCAAACTCTGAGATTTTCAGATTTTCAGATTCTGAAAACTCTAAAATCCTCAGATTTTGATATTTTTAGATTCTCAGAGTCTCATATTTCCAGATTTTCTGATTATGATATTTATATATTCTGGAATTCGAAATTTTCAAGTTTTCAATTTTTAGATTTTCAGTGTCCCAGATTTTTTTTCCGTCATCTAACAACATGGAATTTATCTGAAACCTAGAAAATTCAACATTTTCAACAAATGCTTTGTTATAAAGATCTAGAAAAAAGGACAATTTTTATCACAATAAATGCTGACTACTAAATACGAGAGGAATGTATAGTTATATCAAAGGGGCGGGGCTAATAAAACAGAACATGCACAGCAATAATTTCTTCAAAAAATCAAGTTATTTGCGAGGAATCAATCCGAACTGTTGTGGACGGAGCAACGTGGCAACGACATCCTTCTCCAGCTGATCTAGCTCCGAGATGACACTTTCCAAATCGTTTTGAGTCTTTCCTGGTGGAGTGATCAGTTCGATGTAGTACTTGATCTTGGGCTCAGTTCCAGATGCACGGAGAGTCGTGACACTTCCAGTCTTCAAGAAGAATGTCACCATTTCAGAAGACGTCGAAAGCGGAAGAACTGGCTTGTTGTCAGGCTTCGAATTGTCATATCCAATCGTCAAATCTCTCACAGAGACTACCTCAGCCTCACCGATCTTTGTTGGGAATTTCAAGTCGGCTCTGAGGGTGCTGAACAGCTCCTTGGTGACTTCCGGTGCTGGAACCATCCAGTAGGTGGATCTAACCAAGTGGAATCCATATTTATTGTAGAGAGCATACAGTTGATCCTCGAGAGATTTCCCTTGAGTGTGAAGGAATGCGGCGATTTCAGCGAACACTGCCGCTGCACTGACACCATCCTTATCCAAAGTGTGTCCTGGCATGTATCCAATTGACTCTTCCCATGCGAGAATCACATGGTTGCCTTCAGCGCGAAGCTCCTCCGCACGGTTTCCCATCCATTTGAATCCAGTCATTGTCGTCTCGTTTTTGAAGCCTAAGCATGTAAATTGAAATAAAAATAAAGAAAAATTCAAAAAAATTCCTTCATCGAGAAAAACGCATCGAAAAATACGCTGAAAGCCCTTAGGGACGAGCTTTTTTTCTAGGCCGCCCGGTGAGTAAAAGCGCGCGAATTCAAACTTTTAACATTTTTTTTGCTCGTTTTCCTGTTTTTTCTAGTTTTCCGATGTATCTGGAAGAAAAATTGAAAAAAACCTGGAAAACTCTTGAAAAAACCGAAAAAAAGTGAGAACGAGCGAAAAAATTTTAAAAGTTTGAATTCGCGCGCTTTTACTCACCGGGCGGCCTAGAAAAAAAGCTCGTCCCTAAGGGCTTTCAGCGTATTTTTCGATGCGTTTTTCTCGATGAAGGTATTTTTTGAATTTTTCTTTATTTTTATGCCAATCTACATGCATTTCTGCACATTTTATGCAATAAAAATTTTACCGTAGACCACCTTTGAAGTGCCGTTTTTATCTCATCGACAGTGTAAAATTATTTTCCCTCCAGATGACGTTGCATATCTCCAAATAACCAATAATGAAAGGACCAAGTCTGGAGTTTAAGAAAAGTGGACAGCCGTTCATCCAATGCGGCTTGGGACTGAATTGCCTTTCCTTCAATAAAACGAGATCCTATGTTCCACGGGAAGCCAAGTAAGGCATAGACCGCTCTAGCTCGACGGTTTTTCTTTACGCACCCTCAAACTCCTGATTTGGCCATTTTGTTAGTGGTTATTAGAAGATATGCACAGTCATCTGGAGGGAAATAATTAAACACTGTAGATCTGAACTGAAAAAATACTTTGAGTCACAGCTAGCTAGCTTTTGGAGGGATGGTATCCACACATTACCTGAATGTTGTCAGCATGTCGTGGACCACAACGGTGCATACTGTCAATCTTGGATAATTCTTGTTTTTGTATTATTCACGAATTGAAAAATGGGCAGTTACTTTCCTTCCAACCTAATAGATTCTTCAAATTGTGGAAGAAGGGATAAAATCGAAAATTGAAACATTTGTTGGTTCATGGGGAAACCATCGCAGATTGGAATGTGTTGATGAAATGACTACAGCCAGAAAAAGAAAGAAGATTACAAGTAGAAGGAGCAGACAGAGAAAAGACGTACATAATTCAGAATTGTTATGGGATTTGCGCTAAAATTGAAATGTTTAATAATATACGCTTTGTTGACCAATTTGTTACTGTTACTCTCACTGTTTCAAATTGATTTCTGATGAAAATTTTATTGTGACTGAATAAAGTTTTAAAGCTAAATCAAATCAAAATTTCCTCTTGCATTTAAGGACAGCAACTCCAATATAATTTTTTTGTCGGAAAAAAGCTAACGCTTCCCTCTCTAAATTTCAACAAAAAAGATTTGCTTCCAAACTTCGAATGATAGTCGTTAACTGAAAATTTCCTGTTAGCACTCAAAACTTTGATGGCTAATACTTTTGAAATTTTCGATGTCACTGCTAATAATATTAAAAATTGAAAAAAAGGTTTGAAATCATGAGAAAATATAGAAAAAGCATCTGAAGAAAGCAGCTTTAAAAAAAGAAATCAAATTTTGATTTTCACAGAATTTGAAACTTTGAATATCTGAAAATTTGAGATTCTGAGAACTCGATAATCCGAAAGTAAGAAAATTTTTGAAATTTTAAAACTTGAACATCTAAAAGTCTGAAAATATGAAAATTCAATAACTGAAAAAGTTGAAATGTTGAAATTGGGAAAATCTGAAAGTTTAGTGAGGGATCACATTTTGACATTCTCAGTGAAAGAGTGTCTACTTTGGCGTCCTGATAGAGTAGTTCAGACTTTTTTTTTTTTGATAATTCCAGAGCATACTAAACAAAATTAGAGCTTTAATTTTGTAGTCGACAACTTTTTTCGAATTATTCATCCTAACGATTTATGGCTCTTAACCAGGGTTCAATAGTGACAATTTGTAGCAGTTTTTGAACCTTGGTTCAGTTTGAGCAGCATATCCCGTCTGGTTTAATTTTTAGAAAAAGTTGTCAACTACCAAATAAGAGCTCTATTTTTGTTCAAAATACCTTGAAATAATTTTTTAGAAAAAATCGAAAATCAGGTATTTTAAGATTGTTCTGAAATCTTCAGCTTGAAATTGAAATTTGAATTACTCAATTTTGTTGTTCGTCTATACAATCGACCATAAATACGTCTTCTGTCAACATTTCTTTCTCTGGAGATCCCTTTTTGACACCTCGTTAATCTCTTCATTCCCCATCATCACCTGACGTCGTACCTGCATTAGACACGCGTTTTCCACTCGAGACCCATCTTTATTGATTAACAACAAATCGATAGAATTCTCTACATCAATAGGTTCTACAAACCTACCTCATGTTGTTCCATACATTCATTATATCTTATTAGTTTCCTCTATTCACCAAATATGACCAGCCGGAGATTCCCTTTCCGACGTTTACCCGATGATCTATGTTTAAAGGTTCTCAGAACTATGGAACACCGTGAAATGTGAGTTTATTTCTTCAATTTCTTCAAAAGTTACGATCCGTTGCATTAGACTCATTTCGTTTCAGAATCGCCTCCTCATTAACTTCAAAGAAGCTATTATCACTGGTTCAATCTCTTGATTTATCGCTTAACAATGCTAGCATAAAAATGAAACTACTTTCGGAAATATCGTTTGACTTTGGTCGCATCACTGTTGGATTCAAATGGAGAATGGACAAAAATGGCGAAGAAATGACGAGTCTTAATGATATTCCTGTCAATACTAATGTATCAATTCACAAAAACTCCCCGAGTTTGAATCGTATAACAATGGAATTCCGGCTGACTTCCGGACATATTGAATTCAAGTGGTCAAACCAAAGAATGACTTTAGGAGAGTGGATTCATCACCTCTGCTCAATTTTCCGGTGCGAACGTTATGACGCCGAATTTCATATCGGAAAGATAAGAGTCGATATACAATCACTTCGAAACACTTTCCCAAAACTCAGAGAAACTGTTATTCATGGTTCTTTGGAACCGAACGATCAGGACATTCAAAGCGTTATTTTGAGAGCTTTTCTACCTGATGTCAAATATGTCCAATTGCATGGTGTCCCTCTCCAAGGTAACCTTTCTATTCAACACATTGGAATAGCAAATTTAGAAGAATTGAAACTATGTGCTTATCGTAATCTGAAACTCGATGATCTTTTAACCCTGAATGTCGAATGTTGTACTATTGTTGAAAGTCAATTCTCACTTCGCGATTTGAATCGATTCTTCAAACTATGGACGAAAGGATCCTTTCCAAAATTAAACTATTTGAGGGCTCATGTGGAAAGCATCGCAGATTGGAATGTCTTGATGAAAGGACTACAGCCGGAAGAAGCAAGAAGATTACAGGCAGCAGGAGGAGAAAAGGAAAAGGAGTACACGTTCAGAATTGTTATGGGATTCGCGCTAGAATCAAAATGTCTAATATACATTTGGTTGTTACTGTTATTCTCACTGTTTCCAATTGATATTTGAAGTTTGTACCTGAATAAAGCCATAATAAAATGTTCCAAACTAAAATTTGCAAAAGAAAAAAGCCTCTCTAAATCTCAACAAAAAAGATTTGCCGGAAGAAGCAAGAAGATTACAGGCAGAAGGAGCAGAAAGAAAAAAGAAGCACACAGTTCAGAATTATGATCGGATTCGGGCTACTATTCAACTGTGTAATAATATGCCTGTTCATGTTTCCGTAGAGTTTTATATTCCATATTAATTTCTGATAAAAATTTTTTGTCGCCAGAATAACGCTTTTCAATTGTTCGTCCTTTTTCTATAACGATTGCAGGAGACTCTAATCTAAACACTCGAATTTAATATCATGACGTTCTATTATTCAATGCATAGCCGAAAGAACGTTCTATCAGAGGGGGCATTCTATTGATCGACACTATTTTTTTCTCGGGAAAAATTGCGAATTGCTTTTAAGATCCTACCGCAACAAAAACTGTAAAAAGCAAAGAAGAGAGCCAAAAGCGAAAAAACCGTAAACACTCTAATACATATAACGCCACTCGGACCGTCCACTCTGAGCCTATATATCTCACTTCTTTTAAAAGATATCAAAAAGTTGTCAACTAATAAAATGTTCATAATCAACATTAGAGTAGTTAACCACTTTTTGATATCTCTCACAGAAAATTAGATACATGTGTCTCGAGTGGAAAACGCGTGTCTAATGCAGGTACGACGTCAGGTGCTGATGGGGAATGAAGAGATTAACGAGGTGTCAAAAAGGGATCTCCAGAGAAAGAAATGTTGACAGAAGACGTATTTATGGTCGATTGTATAGACGAACAACAAAATTGAGTAATTCAAATTTCAATTTCAAGCTGAAGATTTCAGAACAATCTTAAAATACCTGATTTTCGATTTTTTCTAAAAAATTATTTCAAGGTATTTTGAACAAAAATAGAGCTCTTATTTGGTAGTTGCACCGTTGTGGTCCACGACATGCTGAAAAAATTCAGGTAACGTAAATAGCACATATTAACCTAAATAGAACATATTAAGTGGAGACGCAGACACTACTTCTCTGCGTCTCACCTTTTTTTTCTCAGACAAGCATAATAGATGAATAACAATATTGAAAAATTCAATTTTCCATTTCAAGGTGAAGGGTTCCATTTATGGTTTTCTAACGAATCATTACAGAAAAATTTCATATTTAACTGTTTCAATTGATAATAGTCGATGAAAATCCTAAAAGTTATAGTGGTTAGAAATTTGGGGTTTTTTTTGGAATTTCATTCGGCTCAGAATTTTCAAACAGATTTGAAACAATCAGCTTTTCAGCTTCAAAATGAGTATAAAAATGCCTATGCTCACAAAAATTCTGGTCCCGTCTTAAAGGCGCATACCAAAATTTGGGAGCGAAATTCAAATAGAAGGATAATAGGCCGTGTTTATGCTTATTTCGAAGCTTTTAACTAACTGATTACTAATCTGAAATTGGAAATATGCTTGCTAAAAATCTAGAAAAGATATGATTAAAAAATGGGCGGAACAATTAGCGGAGATATAGCAAAAAACGTTGTGAAAAGAAACAACATGTTAATGAAACTCTGTTCTCTGCGAGCTTATTAGTTGACAGTTTTTTTGAAAAGTCAGAAAAAAAATACTTAAAACCCGCTGCCTTTTGCAAGTATGAATATAGCACCAGAAAAACCCCATTTAAATACAAAAAACAGTTTATTAAACAAGTTGAGAAACAGACAACAACGGTAGTATCAAACAACAATATTATCAGAAAAAAGATTGTTCAGAAGCTACAGGAAATCTCTGATGCCAAACAACGAAATTCACGATTTTATCAAAGACCGAAACCGATGCAAGCTTTCCATCGGGTCGCAAAATGTCCAGGGCATGTTCAAGGTTCAATAAGCCACCTTCAAATTCCTTTTTGCTGAAACATATGAAACTTAAAAGTCGTAGAATATTATTAAAAACTGACTGATAGTTCCGATATATCCGCGCTCTTTGTGTCGGATCCCATGGCTTCGTTTCGAATCCACTGACAATCTGTTCAATCGGCAATCCCTCCATTGGAACAGATTTTAATTGAATTTCGATGTTTTCGAGTTTATTAATCGGCTGGTCGATTCCTTCGAACCAACAGCGAATGAATTGATTTAATTGATTGGCATCCCAATCCATTGTGTAGAGTGTGATCCGTTTAGCTGCACAATTCTTCAAATGTTCCGGTTTTAACCAATCAGATCCGTTTAGATCGAAACTCTCCAAATCTGTGAATTTTTCGAGTCCTCCTTCGGTTTTATCGATAAAATTCATTGTTAGTTTCTCGCATTCATGAATTTTTGTCCATTGAAGAATGTTCTCGATTTCCGGGAATGATGGACCCGTGATTTGAACAGCGGTGACCGGGAAACGAATCAAATCGGTTAGCCATTCGACTGCTTGCTGAAATACTTGATTTCTTAGGAAAAACTGCGATTTTTATGCTAAATGTTGTTAGAAAATCTTCATTTTTTGCCTCCTGGAAACATGTTCCTTTAAAGGAACACGCTTTACAGAGGAAAGGTGGTCTCGACACGATAACCGAGCTGACTTACCTTCCCAAACTCGATTGGAGTCTCACAAAGTTTGATTTTATCTGTACTCAATTTCACTTCCCTCGTATAAGAAGTGAAGAATTTCCAGACAAGTGGTTTATTGAAATAGAAGAACTTCAATCGGATCACAAAACCCTTCTGACTGATATTCAGTGATAATTTCTCCACATTCAGATTTTGTAATTTGATGAATTCTTGGATTTTTGGGCTGGATAGTGCAAAGTTTATTCTGCAAAAATGGAAAAATTATTTTTAATGAAAGCATGAACCCACAGTGATTTGGGGCTGAGAAAATTGACCATTTTAGACATTGGAAGCTTCGGAACGTCCAGAAGAGTCGGCGGTGTCATTTTGAAGCCTGAAAATTGAAAATATCGCAAAAAATCGGAAATTCCGCATTTTTCATGTGGAAAAAAGGAGCTTTCCATCTCAAAAATTATCTGAAATTGGCTAAAAGAGGGGAAATTTGGAAGAAAATGATTTTTCTGAGGAAAATATCCGAAAATTCGAGAAAATCGTTGGATTTTGGTTTTCAGAAGACTTTGAGATTTATTGAAACCTATAATTATTCTAACAATTGCTGAAAATCGATGAAAATCGATGAAAAACGAAAGAAGTTTCACCGAAAAATGCGAAAACAAAAACGCGTGCAATTCGGTGTCATGCAGAAAAATGGGCGGAGCCTTCGCACACACAAAACATAGCGGGCGGCGGAACCCGGAAAATGTCGGTACATGCGAAAACATATAACCCCTCGTCTCGCTTATCTCGTCGGTTTTAACCCAGTTTAACCAAGGTTAGCTGTCGTTTCGATCTCTCGAAAGAGTGTGTCGAATAGAAACACAATTTTTGGAACCGCCTCTTCGGGGATATCCGTTGAGGCAAAGATATATAAAATTTCGGGATTTTGCAGGAAACTAATAAAAACTGTGTCAGACGGGGAGCTGTTGATCTAAAAATCTTGAATTCTGGGAATCAAAAAAATTGAAAAACTCTGAAAACCTAAAAATCTGAAAACTGAGCATCTAAAAATCTGAACTACTTGGAATCTGACAGTCTACAAAACTTAAATTCTGACAACGTAAAAGCGAAAAATCTGAGAATCGACGTTCACCGGCCGTTCGAATCAGCGAAATTTGGATAGTCTTAAAAACTACTTTGATGAATTTCGATATTTCCAAGAAGCCAAGAAAAAATCGAAGAAATATCAAAAATGCGGTAAAATCTCTACAACCACAATTTATTTTTCAAGATGCCGCTAGAAACAATGCTAGGAACAGTAGAGCGCGTCCTAAAATAGATCTCTCTTAGTAATGCCCTGATTGAGAAGAAGCTTAGTATGTTTTGTAACAGTAAGTGAAGCATTATTAATCGCTGAAAACCAATTAAATTAATTTCAGATTCCAGACGACTGCAATGATTACTGTACTTCATAATTTTGACAAATTTTCATGTTTTTACTAATAGGAAGCTTGGCAATTTAATACTTTTACATGTTTGTTACTACCATTTTTATAATTCATTTTTGATAATTTGTCTTGATAATAAAAATATTTGCTTTAAAGAGATCAATCAGCTATTCTGGAAATCTCTGATGCCAAACAACGAATTTTAATTGAATTTCGATGTTTTCGAGTTTATTAATCGGCTGGTCGATTCCTTCGAACCAACAGCGAATGAATTGATTTAATTGATTGGCATCCCAATCCATTGTGTAGAGTGTGATCCGTTTAGCTGCACAATTCTTCAAATGTTTCGGTTTTAACCAATCAGATCCATTCAGATCGAAACTCTCCAATTTTGTGAATTTTCGAGTCATCCTTCGGTTTTATCGATAAAATTCATTGTTAGTTTCTCGCATTCATGAATTTTTGTCCAAGAATGTTCTCGATTTCCGGGAATGATGGACCCGTGATTTGAACAGCGGCGACAGGGAAGCGAATCAAATCGGTTAGCCATTCGACTGCTCTCTGGAATTTTTTAAAATTTTAACATTTTTTGAGAGAGAAACTGTGATTTCAGTGATAAATATCGTTCAAAAATGCGAAAAATAGTTTTTTTTGCTGATTTTAGTGCTAAATATTGTCGAAAAAATAGTACAAAATAGCGAAAAAACATGATTTTTTGCGATTTTTGCGAAGAAAAATCACCAAAAAATTGAAAAAATTACACTACTTCGCAATATCGGAGACCGTACAAATCGGAAAGACTTTAAATCCGAAAGAAAAGAAACGGAAAGAACGCTAAACCGTGCACAGTTTTGCTGAAATCGCGTGCGCAGGCTGCATATGAGCGGGGTTTTGTCTAAATCTCTTACAGTTCAGAAATCTCTCGTTCAATTCAGATAAACCCGCCCTTTTTTGCAGCCTGTGCACGCAATTTGTGCACGGTTTAGCGTTCTTTCCGTTTCGTGTCGTACGGTTTCGATTATTTCGCTTTCGTTTCTTTCGGATTTAAAATCTTTCCGATTTGTACGGTCTCCAATATCGTGGCGAGACCTTGCATCCTCGGAACATGTTCCTTTAAAGGAGCACGCTGAAATGAGGTAGGGTTTCGACACGAAATCGCCGATGAGCTAAAAAAAGATCATTTTAATTTAGAAATTCGTGATAAGATTGATAGATTTTTTCGAAAAACATTCATATAAATTAAGGAAGCAAGAAAATACTGTCATTCGACTTGTGTGTGTTTCGAGGTGAAACAACGACAAAACAAAAAAGGAAACCAGTAAAAAAAAGAAGACGTTATGAAAATAAATTAAATCATCGAGGGGAAAGAGTGGGGGAGAACATCTTAGGAGAAATCGAGACACTAAATGGGGAATACTACATAAACCGTAGCGGGGCAGGGGAACGAGAAACAAGAGGAACATTTATTTAGCAATCGGTAATATATAACTTAATGGTTCAAAGTCTTCATAGCCGCATTGAATCCACCATCAGCGAATGCCACAAAGAAGGTCTTGACACGAACGGCGAAGTGCATCAGCAGCGCTGAAATTAATGATAAAATACTCGAAAATTCGTTGAAATCTTCTTACTTGCAACATTGCTCAGGATATCCAAAACGAATTGGAACACCATCTTAAGTCCAAGCTTGAATCCTTCCAGAGCTGGTCCAAAAGTCTTCTGTCCGTCCTTCTTCCACCAAGAGTTAACATTAGCCCATTGAGCTTGAACGAATCGCTGAGTCTTGACCCATTTGTCGACGATCCACGCGTGCACCTTGAAGAGCACTTGCTCAACCTGCTTTCCAAAGTCAGACTTGGTGAATTGTTTCCATTGCTTGCTGATTGAGGAATGGATCGAGTTCAGGTGTGGTTTAGCTTGACCACTGTAATTCGACATTGTTATAGAGCTGTTAGGATGCTCGTATTTCCACTAGTGGAAGCCTATCGAAGCCGTCAACTTTGAGCGAAATTATCTAGATTCTTATGAGAGATATCAAAATGCGGTCAACTGATAAATTAATTATCATAATATCACCTATATTTTATCAGTTAACACATGTTCGATATCTCTTACAGGAGCCGAGATAAATGAGCTCAAAGTCGACGGTTTAGGCGGGCTTCTATCAGAGGAAATTGATAAACTTACTGATATCCATTGAAAACCGTTCCGTATGTCTTCTTAACATTCTGCGCGAAATTGGCAGATGGCTTGTTTCCGGATCCGATCAACGAGATGTCCTTGCAAAGTGGGGCACTTCCAGGAATCGGAGTTCCCTTTCCAGCGCAATCGAGTCCAATGGCGATGGTGCTCGACGTGGCGAGGATGATGGTGAGGTAGAAGACGCATGACCAGATGAAGCCGAAGACTGAAAATCGGAAAATAATCCATTAAAAACTAAATTTCCAGACCTAGTTTAATCATTTTTAGACGCACTAAATAGGTGAAAAACTAGTACAAAAATAATCGAATTTGGGTAAATTTGAAAACATTGTTTAGTCAACGTCGACATAGTGATAAGAGCAGATAGCGATAAGAAGTGACTCACGCTTGCTGAAGAATCCGCGTCGTCGTTCGGTTGTCTTCTTCTCGTCCTTCTTCTGTGGCGACGTCTCCTTCTTTTGAGCCTTCTGCTGCTGTTGTTGTGGTGGTGTCGAGTGAGACGACTTGTTGTTCGAGGCGGCGTGGTGCTTCGCGTCCTTCTCTGAAAATTTGAGTCGGTTATAGGTCGTTCGGGAGGCTTCTATTTCGGTCGGCCGACCGCCGACCGACCGCCGAGTTCATTTTTTCGCGATTTTTCCATTACTTACTAGCCATTCTTTAACGTTTTTTGGTTCGATTCGAGTCGGCACACAGGAAAGTGGGGGAAAACTGAAAACGTACAAAAATAGGAAAAAAATAGCAAGAAGGAGAGAAAAAAAAAGAAGAAAGTGATAGCTGAGAACGGAAAGACAGTCACAGAACGTTCCAGAAAACAGTGGTTATGTCGAGTGGAAAAAATAAGGGTCAACACGTCGACAACAGTTGGAACTTTGCCTAATTTTTTCCTACACGTCGAAAATCGAAATTTGGGTCGGATTTTAAAAAATAAAGCAGGAAATATACGGAATTTAGGTAGATTTTTCAATTTTTCTGTGAAAATTTGACTCAAAATATTCAAATAAAGCAGGAAGTTGGCTTTGAAACCGAAAAAGGCGAAATTTTTGAGAGCAAAAAATCAATCACCGTAAGATTTCTTAAAGGCGCATAATAAGCTTTGCATGGATCTTGCCGCGAAATGGTAAATTTGGGCGTTGCGCCTTTAAAAAACTACAGTCGAAAATAAATTATTTTCTCGCCTATTTTTCCCAGTTTTGTCGACAATTTTCATACTTTTTAAGGGGTTTTTAGTTGTTTTTATCAAGTTTTCGCTATAAAAAACCATGAAACATACGGAATACCGAGAAATAGCGGCAAAAATGACTATTTTTCGAAACAAAAATATTTTCTGGCCTATTTTTCTCGATTTGTCAACAATTTTCATATTTTTTGAGGGTTTTTTCATTATTTCTATCCATTTTCCGCTATTTTTATAGCAAAAAAAAAACAAAAAATGACTGTTTTTCTAAAAATGATTGTTTTTCTAAAAATCTTGAAATTAGAAAAAACGAAATTCCTATAGAAAAAAGAAGAGAGAAATAGAATGTGTGTTATTTTGTTTTGCGCGTTGATATCGAGAGAAGTCGAGAGAACTGGTAGTTGGTAGTTGATCAAAAATAAGTAGGTCAAACTGATTTGTCATTTGGCACGCATGGAATTTTCAAAAGAAGGAAGGAATACTGAGAACCATACTAGGTAAAGGGAAAAATCAGATAAGGATCGGCCACTTCCTCCCATGTAAATCTGACAAAATTATCTAATAGCAAGGGCAGTATTGATAGAGATAAGAGATTCTCATCATTAGGAATAAGAGGAAAAGATCATCTCCACAGAACCTTAGAAGGCTAATAAAGCGTTCGTTAAAACTGCAAATCGCTTGGTTAGGTTCGTTTTGAAAACTAAACAAAGAAGAGGTCAACCATTGCGGATGGACAACAGCCGCTTTTTCTCAACTCTCTCTCTCTCTCTCTCTCTCTCTGTCTCTCCACTCTCTCCCAGATCCTCGCTATTTCTCACCCTTTTGGTTTTTCATGTCTATACGGCGTGTGTGTATCTGTGAGGGGTGTGTCTCCCCGTGGTAGGTGCCCAGTTGTGCAATATCGAACTGCAAGATGTGGTGCGAGCGACCTTAGCAGTTGGATTTTTGAAGCTAAGGACTTCAGTTTTTGATGGATAGAAGGAAATTTGATGCTACTACAACAGGAACTATCCATAGACAGCGTCCCCCTTATTACAAAATGAGTCATAAAAAGGAATACAAACAAAACTACAAATGCTTCTGTTGTGGTGGGAGAAATGTTGCAAATATACAAAAACCCATCATAAATACTACTATTTTTTACCACTACTACTATGCTGGCAAAAAAGTAAACGGAGTGGCGAAAGAAAAAAACGACGAAGGGTGGCTCTTGTTCCGTCTGCATCTCTCGCTTTGACGCACTCTCTCGTTTCATGCTCTTCTGAAGACGAATGCAAGACGAAGAAGAAGACGTTGGCACAGAAGACACGAGAAGAAGGGGAAGCATGGGCAGAAATGAACACAAAAGGAATAGAAAATGGACACAAAAGAAGGGAAGAGGAGACATAGAGCAAGATAGAATGAACAGATGCTGGTATTTAAATGTGTAGGCCACCTGCTCTCCGGGTCATAAGAGACCATGCAGATTAATTTTTCTGAGAAAATTTGAGTCAGAATATGTAAAGCAGAAAATTCGCTACGAAATCGAAAAAAATCTGAATGTTTGCGAGAAAAAATGAATTACAGTAAGATTTCTTAAAGGCATGATGAATATTTGATGGGTTGCATAGCGAACTTGAAATTTTAGCGATGCGCCTTTAAGAAACTACTGTCGGCAGTAATTACCGTAAAATCTGTATTAATATTGCGCCTCTATTTGAATTGCCCCTCTAATAGACTTGCACCCCTTGAGGGCACTTGAAAAATAGACTTGTAGCCTTTAATTGAATTGCCCCCGTAATACAATTGCATCTGAAGCAGTATTGCGGCTCCGCCGGGAGTACTGTACAATTTTTAGTCTGTGACACCGTGACGAATCATTGCACAGTTGTTTTTCGAATTTCTTTTTTTTTAACTACCTACCTAATTTCTGGTTTATTTTTATTTTTCTTGAACGAGAAATGGAAGAAATTCAGGAGATTTTGGGAGATATTGAAATTGAGGAAGACGATGGAGAAGTGAACCATGCCGAAGAAGAAGAAAATAACTATGACAGTGACGCCTCGATTTTTTGATTTTTTAAAATATGCGATACTTTTCTTTTTGCTTTGTTCAGTTTGTTACTTTTTTTGTTGATTTTCATAATAAAACTTTTTTCAAAATTTTAACCTCAAATTGTAGTTTATAAAATATAATTGCAGCCTCTATTTGATTTGCCCCTCTAATAGAGTTGCACCTCTTGAGGTGACTTGAACAATAGACTTGCATGCAATATTAATACAGATTTTACGGTATTTTCTGGCCTATTTTCCTCGACTTGTCGACAATTTTGATAGTTTTTTCGGTGATTTGCATCGTTTTTACCCAATTTTTGCTATCTTCACTGTGAAAACATCAGGAATACCGAGAAAAAGAGGCTAAGCATGATTATTTTCGAAAATTTTTTAATTTTCCTGAGAAAATTTGAGTCAGAATATGCAGATACAGCAGATAATACGCTTTGAAATGAAAGAAGGTCGAAATTTTTTTCGAGAAAAAAAAGAATCACAGTATAATTTTTAAAGACCGCATGACAAACCTTGCATGGGTCTCGCAGCGAAATTACAATTTCGGTGTTGCGCCTTTTTAAACTACTGTAGTTTTTACCTAATTTTTGCTATTTTCAATGAGAAAAACGATGAAAACATACAAAAAACCGAGGAAAAGATGCTAAAAATTATTATTTTCGAAAAAATATCACATTTTGCAAGCAGAATCTCATGACATTTCTCACACCCACCATCGTTCTTCGTCTCCAATTCCTTCTTCTTCTTCTCCTGATGCTTTCGGATCTTCTCTTCCTCTTGAGCCTTCTGCACCTTCGCCTTGTGCTTCGCCTCCTGTGCCTTCTGGTTGTCAATCTGCTTCTGACGATCTCCCATGTAGACATTGACAACTTGCTTCGCAGCAGTCTTACATTCCGCGTCGGTTCCACAATTTCCAGCGATCGCTAGAAGCTTCGAATTCAACGGATTCTTCTTCAAATCCAACCATTTCAGCGATTTGAGATTGGCAAAGGATAATGGGAGATCTTCCAACTTGTTATTGTACAAATTGAGATGCTGGAGACTGGTCAGGTAGCCAATTCCATCGGGGAGATGGTCGAGTTGGTTGTTTCCAAAGTCCAGTCGAATGAGTTTCGTCATTTTGCAGAATGATTCTGGCAGATAGGCGATGGAATTCGAGCTGATATCGAGCTTCGTCAAACGTGTCAGCTGGACGATTGCATTTGGGAAGTCCTTGATTCCACAGGCAGATAGATCCAGCTCATCGTCTTCTTGCAGATTGCGAAGTTCCGTTAGAGAGTATTTGGGAGCAGACATTGTTTTCTAGAGTCACCGGTAGAAAATTAAATACCCTGAAATTTTGAAAAAAAAATAAATAAAAGTGTGAGAACGAAAAGAAATAGGTCGGCAGTGAACCAATATTGAGAAAAAGAGAAAAAAGAAAAATCGTCTTTTTAAATGCACAAGTATCACAAAGTAAGTATTTGAATTGTACTGAATCGATATGAATTATGGCTTTTGAGAAAAAATACATCTAAAGCTGAAAGAGTATTACGAATTATGAGTTATGCACCCTATTTATAGCTCTCCCTTCGGTTGCTTCCGCTCCGCTTTTTTCGATTTGCTTCGTTTTCGTTCTGCGTCTTCCGCTTCCAACTCCTTCTTCGCGCACTCCTTATCGTAAGCGTTGAAGTATCTGAAATTAACAAATTTGTTCGAATTAGCCTTTTTTGAAAATTTCCGGAAATTTCCATCGAAAAAAGCGCGAAAAATGACAACAAAAACATTTGAAAAGCGCTGAAAAAAAAACAATAAAAGTAATTCCGCTCGAGAACCACAAGAGAACTTTTTGCGTGCGTCTTTGAAGTACTGTAAGCTTTAAAGGTGGTGTACGGTGAAATTTTTTATTGCATCAAAATGTGCAGAAATGCATGTAGATTGACATAAAAATAAAGAAAAAATTCAAAAAAAATTCCTTCATCGAGAAAAACGCATCGAAAAATACGCTGAAAGCCCTTAGGGACGAGGCTTCTTCTACGCCGCCCGGTGAGTAAAAACGCGCGAATGCAAACTGGTGAAATTATAATAGGACGATAAAACTTGTTCGTGGCGAGAATCACAACTTCTAATGGTAAGAAAGGCATACCGTATTTGCTCTAAAAGAAGCCCACTGTCCCCTTTGAGCCGAATATCTCGGTTTCTGTGAAAGATTTTGAAAATTGATCAACTGATAAATTATTTATCATAATTCACCGATATTTTA